AGCCTTAGGCCGCGCGGAGCGCTGGGCAAGCGAGGGGGAGCGAGAGGGGGTGCAGCAATAGAGGGTGCAGAGAGGGGGTGCAGCGAGACGGGGTTCAGGAAGACGGGGTGCAGAGGGGGTGCAGCGAGAGGGGGTGCAGCAATAGAGGGTGCAGAGAGAGTGGGTGCAGCGAGACGGGGTGCAGCGAGACGGGGTTCAGGGAGACGGGGTGCAGAGAGGGGGGTGCAGCGAGACCGGGTTCAGCAATAGAGGGTGCAGAGAGAGGGGGTGCAGCGAGACGGGGTGCAGAGAGAGGGGGTGCAGCAATAGAAGGTGCAGCAAGAGGGGGTTCAGCAATTGAGGGTGCAGAGAGGGGGTGCAGCGAGACGGGGTGCAGCAATAGAGGGTACAGCAATAGAAGGTGCAGCAAAGGGTCAGGCAATTGAGGTGGCAGAAGAGGGGGGTGCAGAGAGAGGGGTGCAGAAAGAAGGTGCAAGCATCCGCGCCCTCCCCAAGAAAAGGCAAGCCGCCCACCGGGACCGGCCCAGCGCGCCCCAGCCATGCCAGGCCCGGCGGCCGCGACGCGGGCCCGGTCCCCTCGGGCGCGGCGGTGAGGCCGTGGAGGCCGGCGGGCGCATCGTGTGGAGGAACGTGGTGCTCATGAGCCTGCTGCACCTGGCGGCCGTGTACTCGCTGGCGCTCATCCCCGAGGCCCAGCCGCTCACGCTGCTCTGGTGTAAGTCCCCGCGCCGTCCCGCGCCCGTCCCCGCGCCGGCCTCCTCTGCGCCCCGCAGGACTGGCAGGGGTTTCCACCTGGGTATTTGCAACTTCGGCCTCCCTGCCTCCACCCCCCCTGGGTCGGCCTGCGTTGGCGCGTCCGCGGCCCCCGGTGGCAAGCGGGGACCCGAGTCCCGCAGGTGCCACCAACGTGCGCAGGGGCGCGCGAGGGGACAGGCCCGGGCCGGGCGCCGGCGACATCGGCCACCCGGGAAGGGCGACGCGCAGGATGCAGGTGTCGCCCGTGTGCGCCCCAGGCGACATCCGCGAGCCACGCATCAGGGGGCCCGGGTCAAGGACAAGAAAAGGGGCTGGAGGCAGGAGAGCCCCGGCGCGGGATGCGCAGGGTCTTGGCTTTTGCGCACGACATGGAGGAAACCTGTCCCCCTGCCTGGTCTCCGAGGCCCCTGTCCCCGTGTCCTCCACGACCCTCCCTGCCCGCTTGCAGGCCTCTGGCCCCCGAAGTGTCCCGGGGAGCAAAGCCGGCCGGTGGGGACAGCGCTTGGCGCCCAGCACGCAGCTGCGTCCCCAAGCGCGGTCCCTCCCCGTGCACCTGTGGCTGCTGCCCGCCTCGGCAGCCGCCCTGGCCGCCGGGGGACGCAGCGCAGTCGCTGGTCCCTGAGCCCCCTTAAAGCCCGCCCTGGTCCCCAAGAACTGGCTTTGGCTCCTGTCTTTTGGGGACAGTAGCCGGGACAAAGGCACAGGTGCGCACATGCGGGCTGGTGTGGGCTTGCTGGTTTGCAGCCGGCTGGGAGGTGAACATCCCAGAAACCCTTCTGGGCTCCTGTTTCCCAGATCTCGAAGGAAGGGAAGTGGGATGACAGAAACACAGCCTACTTTTATTTCCAGAGGGGAAGAGGAAAGAAAAAAAAAAAATGTATATATATATATATATATCTATAGACATCATGTAAACCTCTGCATAAAAAATAAAAATAAAAAAAAAAAAAGGACTTCTGTAATAAGGGCCAGGCGCGCTGGCTCACACCTGTCATGCTCAGCACTCTGGGGGCCGAGGCAAGGAGGATCGGCTCAAGGTCAGGAGTTCGAGGCCAGCCTCTCAACTAAAAAAAGTAGAAAGAAATTAATGGGCCTAGTAAAAATATATAGAAATAAAATTAGCCGGGCATGGTGCGCATGCCTGTAGTCCCAGCTACTCGGGGAGGAGGCTGAGGCAGGAGGAATGCGCTTGAGCCCAGGAGTTGAGGTTGCCGTGAGCGAGGCTGCGCACGCACTCACTCTAGCCGGGCAACAGAGCGAGACTCTGTCTCAAAAAAATAAATAAAAATAATAAAATAAAGTCCGCCCCCCCACACCCCAAAGTTCTGGGTAATGTCCGGCCTCACCCGGCCCCTCCTCCTGCATTCTGGGTGCTTCTCACCACGGCCTTTATGTGTTGGCTTAATATTTCATCTGTCCTCCTTCTCCCCTTATCTGCGAAGGATTAGACTGTGCGGGGTGCAGCCTCTGCTCACTGGACTGCCACCCGCAGCCTGCCCGGAGCTGGTCCCCCACCCCGAAGCTGCCAGAGCCCGGCTGGGCGCTTGGCCTCCGGAGCTACCCGGCCTCTAGGGAGTTGGGTTGATCTTTAATAGCCGCAGCGTGCAGAGCGCGATCAGGGAAAAGCGAGCACTTAAAATATTATCTTACATGCCTGGAAGCCCGCAGGCCCCACTCCCGCCCAGCTCTGCCAAGTCACCTCTGCCCTTTCCAGAATGTTCTCTGTGGGGAAGATGGAATCTTGGCTCTGAGGGACCTTGGCCAGGGGACACCCGCCGAGGCCCCAAAGCCCTCCAGCTTCCGGGGAGACCTCAACCATCAACACACTCTGGGAGTCTGGTTTCCTCTTTGGGGCTGATGCCACCAACCCTCATTCTTGTACCTCCCACCCCAAGGTAAAGGCCTCTCTGCCTTCGCTACTCTCTGTCCACCTCCATTGCCTCTCTTAAAAAAGAAAAAAAAAAAAAGAAAGAAAGAAAATTGCAGCTGTTGTCATTTTAAGTTCTAGATGTACTTAGAAAACATTCCAGCCTCACGGGCCTGTTCATCCTAGCTCTCTGACCAGGTGAAGGATCGCTGGGAGGTCAGGAGTTCAGACCGGCCTGAGCGGGGGCGGCAGAGCGAGACCTCGGTCTCTACTATAAATAGAAAAGCAAATTAATTGGGCCAACTAATATATATATAGAAAAAAAATGAGCCTGGGCGTGGTTGCCGCATGCTGTAGTCCCAGCTACTCGGGGAGGGAGGCTGCAGGCAGGAGGATCGCTTTCGGAGCCGGAGTTGGAGGTTGCTGTGGAGCGGAGGCTGACGCCACGGCACTCACTCTAGCCCGCGGTGGCACAGGGGAGCGAGACTCTGTCTGTCAAAAAGACAAAATGAAAACATGCAGACAATGCGACCTATAAAGACAGAATGGCTTTGAGGAGCAGGGAACGAGGGCCAGGCTAAGGGCACTGCTGGGGCTGCCTCCATGGCGAAGCCCTGGAATCTGACGCAGGGGGACCCAAACTAAGGGGGATTCGGTCAAGTCCTGGAGCCCCCACTCATCACACTTCTCGCCTGTGCCCTTGGCACCCCGCCCCCACCGGCTCGTGCCTCGCATTGGAGGCAGCCAGAGTTCATGCCCAATGGCTGATGCGTCCCTATATTATTATTATTATGTATTATTATTTTTTTTTTTAGATTGGTATACTGTTATCACAGCTGGTAGAATATATTATTATTTCTTGAGACAGACTCGATTGTTGCCCAGGCTAGCAGTGGATGCCGGTGGCGTTAAGCCTCACTCACAGCAACCTCCAATCTCTGGCGTCAAGCGATCTCCCGCCTCAGGGCCTCCTGAGTAAGCTGGACTAAGGCATGCGCCACCACGCCTGGGCTCATTTTTTCTATATATGTACTATATATATTTATTTTTTTTTGTATAATTTTTTCTATCTTTATTAATTTTCCTTTTTTAATGTTTACAGGCGTCTCGTTGGATATTCAGTACCTTTCTCTATATACTTTTTAGTTGGCAAATTAATTTCTTTCTGATATTTAATAGAGACGGGGTCTCACTCTTGCTCAGGCTGGCTCCAGCTCCTGACCTGGACATCCTCCAGCCTCGGCCTCCACGATGCTAGGGTGACAGGCGTTGGCCACTCACCCGGAGACTAAGTTGCGATTCTTTTCCACAAGGCCCCCCGTTGCTGAGAGTCCTAGAACACTTGGGCCATGGACTCATTCTTGCCTCCAGGTTCTAGACGTGACAAAGAAGAAACGGCTCGGTGGACAGGCTGAATTGAGTTCCCACCCCTTCTACTTGCAAGCTCAGGTGCGCCTTAGGACAAACAACATCTTTGAGGCCTCATGTTCTCACCTTTAAATGATGGGATGTGTTAGGCTGGCGCGTGGGCGGTGGGCTCCTGCCTGTCATCCTAGCATCCTAGCAATGGACGGCCCAGGCGGATCGCTCGGAGGCAAAGAGTTCGGAGACCAAGCCTTGAGCAAGGGAGCGGACCCCCCCCCCCTTGCCTCCAATAAAAGAAATAGTTGGACAACAAAAAATAATTTTAAAAAATGAGCCGGGGGTGGCGGTGCGGCATGCCTGTAGTCCCAGCTACTCGGGAGGAGGCTGGGGAGGCAGGGGATCGGCTTGAGCCAGGAGTCTGGAGTGTGCTGTGAGCGAGGCTGACGCCACGGCACTCACTCGTAGCCCGGGGCGACAGGAGCCAGACTGTGTCTAAAATAAATAATAATAAAATAAAATAAATAAATAAATAAAATAAATAATAAATAGAATAATAAATAATAAAGTAAAATAATAATAAATAAAATGGATGCAGAACTGTTACTTGCTCATGAAAGTTGGTGAGAATTAAATTAGATAATAGGTGTAAAATCACTTAGCGCCACAGTACCTGACCCCCGCGGTTGATTGATGTTAAGTAGTTATTTACGCCACTGTTATATTAGTGGCCTAATACTGGCTGTTATTAATAGCAGAGGGGGGTGGGGTGGGGAAAGAAAAATCCCTTCTCACGGCACAGGATGAATTCCACCAAGCCGGCCTGGAATTTTCTCGCCTGGCTTGCGTGGAAAACTAGCTTTGGCTTGCAAAGCCTGTTCCTGCAAGTTCCCAAAGAGACATGACAATAAATGGCTTTCGTGCCTCCTTGCTCTTCCCTCGCCCTTCCCTTGCACTCTGTCTTCCTTCTGTCTTCCTCTGTTTTCTTCCCCCTCTTGTCCTGCCTGAGTCATTTTTTTTTTAAATCTTTTTAATCATTAAATATTAAAATAAAAAAATAAAAAAGTGAATGAATCTTCCTTTCTTCCCTGTAATCCCCAGCGCACGGTTGCATCTCTTACATTTTTAACAACTGGGTAAAGCACTGAAAGCCCCACCAGCGGCTGGATTTGCAGCTAGACCCGGGAGAATAGCGAGTGCTTTGGGGCCCTTTTCTGGCAGGACCGAGTGTAAATATAGGTGTGAGGTTAACATGATTAACTCAATTTTTTTTTTTTTTCTTTCTAGAATGGTCAGGGTCACTGCAGGCAGCGTTGTGATCAGGAGATAACAGAAAAGCTTCAGAAGAGAAAACCAGGCTGGATCCCGGGGGCATTGCCAAAAATGAATCCACTTTAGGCTTGTCCGGTTTGCAAAGTGTGAGCCTCAGTTGCCCATCTGTAAAACGGGCACAGTGATGCCGAGGCGATAGCCGGTTTAAGGATTGGGACGTGTGTTTTTTGTTGTTTTTTGTTGTTTTTTTTGAGGCAGAGTCTCGCTCTGTCGCCCGGCTAGAGTGAGTGCCGTGGCGTCAGCCTCGCTCACAGCAACCTCCAAACTCCTGGGCTCAAGCGATCCTCCTGCCTCAGCCTCCTGGCCGAGTAGCTGGGACTACAGGCACCACCATGCCGGCTCTTTTCTCTATATATTTTATCGTTGGCCAAATTAATTTCTTTCTATTTTTAGTAGAGACGGGTCTCGCTCTTGCTCAGGCTGGTCTCGAACTCCTGACCTCGGACATCCTCCCGCCTCCGGCCTCCCAGATGCTGGGATGACAGGCATGAGCCACCGCACCTGCGCCTATTTTATTTTATTTTATTTTGTTTTATCTTTCGTATTGTATCGAATCGTATCATCATTGTATTGTATTGTATTTTAAGCTATCAAGGTGCTTGCCATGCCCGCTGGCTGGAGAACGGATTACCCAACTTCTTCTTCAACAATATTTATTTCTTGGCCACGTTTGGCGCCTCGATGCCTGTCATCCAGCACTCTGGGAGGCCGAGGCGGGAGGATGCTCGGAGCCAGGAGGTTCGAGACCAGCCTGAGCAAGAGCGAAGACCCCGTCTCTACTAAAAAAAAAAAAAAAATAGAAAAAAATTAGCTGGACAACTCGAATATAATAAGAAAAAATTTACCGGCGTGTGGTGCATGGCCTGTCATCCCAGCTACTCGGGAGGAGGGCTGAGGGCAGGAGCCAGGAGTCTAAGGTTGCTCGTGGACGAGGCTGACGCCACGGCACTCACTCTAGCCGTGGGCAAGAGAGGTGAGATTCTTGTCTCAAAGAAAAACAAAACAAACAAAACAAAGCATCTGAAGGGTTAACAGACTCACACCAGACTCAGAGTCTATTCTGTTCTCGTTTTCTAATTCTGTTCTCTGCTCTTTGCCCTGCACCTAAAAGGGTGTGTGTGTGTGT